GCTTCAGACAGTATTCATGATTAATAAAAGTTATATTTCACATTCAATTAAGATCCCTATTTTTCTCTTGCATTTATCTCTTATATTTTAAAATGGCAATACTTTTCTTCATATGCATTTTCCAAATTCACATACTAAAAACTGCACCAAAACATGATAAATGTGCAGATACATGCCCAAAATCACCGATAATTTTACAGCTGCTATCCAATATAATTTTGATGCACCCATCAACCAAGTTGAAGAGGAAGATGATGAAGATCTTGAAATTTCTAAAGAATTGGCGAGGGAGATAGAGCAAAAAGCTGATGGTGTACAACCATACCAAGAATCTTTTAAGACCATTAACCTTGGCACAAAAGAATATCCAAAAGAGATCAAGTTAAGGGCAACGTTGGAGAAAAGCGTCAAAGAAAAACTAATCAAGTTGCTACATAAATATGTGGATATATTTGCCTGGTCTTAGTGAGATATGTCAGGATTGGATACAGACATTGTGGTGCATATATTACCTCTCAAGGATGGTTGCTCTCCAGTTAGGCAAAAGTTCAGAAGAACACGTCCAGACATGTCCAACAAGATTCGAGAAGAGGTCCTTAAACAATTTGACGCAAGGTTCTTAGAGGTGGTAGATTATCCATCTTGGATAGATAACATCGTGCCAGTACCCAAGAAGGATAGAAAAGTATGCATGTGTGTAGATTATCGGGATCTGAACAAAGCAAGTCCCAAAGACGATTTCCCATTACCTCACAAAGATGTTTTGGTGGATAACATAACTCAAGCTTCGGTATTCTCGTTCATGCACAGTTTCTCAGGTTACAATCAAATCAAAGTGGCATCTGAAGATATGGAAAAGACTACTTTCATGACACCTTGGGGAACTTTCTGTTTTAAAGTAATGTCGCTCGGTATGAAAAACGCAGGGGCAACTTATCAACGGGAAATGGTCACATTATTCCATGATATGATTCACAAAGAGGTTGAGGTGTACGCAGATGATATGTTTTCCAAATATCATACGGAGGAGGGTCACATCAAACATTTACAAAATCCATTCAAGCATTTGCGCATGTTCAAACTAAGGTTGAATCTGAACAAATGTACATTTGGTGTCAGGTCAGGCAAGTTACTGGATTTTATTGTAAGTCAGTTTGGAAGTGAGGTAGACCCCGACAAGGTAAAAGCCATACAAGAAATGTCAGCTCCGAGGACAAAGAAAGAGGTTCATGGTTTCCTAGGACGATTGAACTACATTTCAAGGTTCATACCGCACCTAACTATTACGTGTGAGCCTATATTAAAATTACTGCGAAAAGATCAGACGGTGGTATGGAATATTGATTGTCAAACAACCTTCGAGACAATAAAGCAATATTTACTAGAGCCGTTGATCTTAATGTCACCAATTCCCGGAAGACCGCTCATCATGTATCTAACAATGCTTGAAGGGTCAATGGGATGTGTGTTAGGGCAACATGACGAAACAGATAAAAAAATACTTTTAATTTTTCTCTTTCTGATTTTTATTTTATGATTTGATTTTTTTCTATGATTTTTTCACTTTATTTGACTTCTTTTAATTAATTAAAAATAATTTTCTTGATTTTAAAATTCTGGAAAAATTATGGAAGGATCCAATGACCTTTTGACTAATATTGGTGACCTCATTTTATTTTTATTTCTGATTTTAATATTTTTTCACAATTTTTGATTTTTGCATATGTCTTTAAATTTTAAAAATAGTTTGACTTAAAAAAATTTCCAAAAAATTTGTCAACACTTATTAACTCATGTTTGAGTTTGACCTTTTTTTGGGATTTTTATTTGGTGTTTTAATATACCTTGTGTACTTTTACCAATTCTTCCCCTTTTATTAATCATTTAAATATTATTTATTAAACATTATTTTATTATTTGTCTGGTCCTGATTTGGATGTTATTTTGAGACAAATTCTTCGACCTCATTGGATCTTGGGTGTTGATAGGTTGAAAAACCAAATCCACCAAAATAGATGAATGATGTTGATGATATTTGAAACCCTAATTTCATCTGATACATCCCCTCCCTCTTCATCTTATCCTCTTCTTACTTGTGTTATATATTATTGGAGAATAATCTACATATCATTTCTATAACATATAGTACATAGATTACTATTGACCGATATCAAAATAGGTGTGACTTCTACATAAGTCCACTTACGATTGCTTAACATAGCGCTAAAGTTATCCCGATTCGAGAAATGATCATTAGTGGCTCAAACTTATGTTTGCAAGCCCAAGTATATTTAATTTTAAACATTTGATCGAATAACCTTGAGGTTCATTGTTAGGAGACTTTGATCTTATCAATCCTCTAATTAACCTTCATAAACTTTGGTCTAAGTTAATCATTTAAACATCGTTAATTATACGTTGTCACCTCGAGAACTTGAAATGAATGATATACTTGACAAAAAGCAAATGAAACTTATTGTTGAAAAGCTTTGATTTTATCAATCTTCTAATGAATTTTCAAATGCAAGTTTCAAGATGGTCATTCAACTAACCTCTAACTTCTAATTCACTAACAATTGACTATTACTTTTTGTTTTTACTTTATGCTTTTATTTTACTTTATGCCTTTATTTTTATGCACCATTTAATTTAGCATTTATATTCCATGCTATATTTTTTCTTTGCTCACTTGAGCATTTATCTTTATGTCATTTTTATTTTGCTCACTTGAGTTTTTTCTTTCCTTTTCGAAGACACTTAATAATCAACATGAACATTTTAAAACCTTAAGGTTACTTGGACTATTTGGTTACTATCATTGGCATCATGGAGTTGTGGACCTCTTGGACTTAGGATTAGAAACCTTGATTACACATGGGACCTTGTGATTCTATTATTATTCTGTATGGAGTTCTTGGGATTTACCCCAAGATATTGGGTTGATTTTCTTTGTATGCAGGTTATTCTGATTATATGCTTTGTCTGTGATTGAGAATTCCTCTGTATACAGCTACTACTTTGCCCAATTTTTGTGAAGACTTAATTCATATGAAGGTTGGTATTTCTAAGAGGTTTGGTATCTTTGCTTTCTTGGTTTCAATCCAAAGGATGAGAATTCTACATTAACTCTTTATGTCAAGTGTTGGCTTCTTGTTGGTTAGACGGTTCTTTTCCCTAGCATTTACCTTATGCTTTAGGATAGTCCCTTCTTCTCCTCACATCTTCTTTAATTTCAAAAAATTTCTCCCTCTTTTTCAAAAATCTTCTTGTTTTCTTACTCGAACCTCTTTCATAATAAACTTGGACTTAAATCAATGCATTTTCAAAAAATATTTTCTTAATTAAACTTTAACCAACTTAATCATACTTTGACATTTTTGTGAGAAGACTAAAAGTCAATCAACCTCATTCAAACCATTTTTTAACTTTGGCTTTTTACTTTAAAATTTTCTCAAAAGATTAGACTCTTGTGAATCTTTGTAGTGGTGCGAGCTACTATACTTCTATGATATGTAGTAAAGTGAGATATTTTTCCACTTGGGTGTTGAGTGAGGCTTTCTTGATTTTAAAATCAAAGTTATATCATCCATTTTTAGATGACACAAATTCTCATTTCTCATAATCGTGGGTAGTAAGTATATCTTCCATTCGGATATGACGATGATGTCTCTTCTCTTAAAATTAACCAACACACTTGTGTTTTAAAATTTTTAAAGGAGAACCACAAGTAACTTGATCCCCTATTGAAAGGATGGTGGTACATAGGCGCTAAAGGTTCACAACCGCGGCTGGTGCAAAAATTGTAAAAAAAATACTTCTTTTCTCATCTCTGCCATCTATTTTTGTATACAACACTTATAGCCAAAATACACAAATTTTTAAAGAGGTTCATGCGGAGTACCGTAGATGTTTAGGATGTTAATACATTTCATTTGCATAACCGACCCTCGTATCTAGATTCTCTCCTGTCATACCTCAAATTTATCCGCCCTTTATTTCTATGGTCAAAAAATAATTTTAAACATTGATTTTGTAAATATTCCTTGATTTTTAAAAAATTTGTTTCCAAACCTATTTAAAAATATAATGATTTATTTCAGATCATTTTTATTTTTGAATAAATAAATATTCACTTAACCTTTCATATATTTTCAATTGGGTTTATTTGCAAATAAATAACATAGCACAATTAGTAAGAAAGCATAGCTTTAAGCATAACGTCACGGGTTCGAATCTCACTTGGTGCATTTTTTATATTTCTTGGTTTATTGTTACTAATTTTATTTCCATTTATAAAAATCATAAAAAAACCATTTTTTATTATTTAAATATTATTTTCGAATTTTTAATTATGACATTTTTAAAAAATAATTATTTATTTGTTTTTGTGCACTTTTCATCAAAATTAAGTGCAAATGTCATAATAAATACCAAAAATATTTCCTGTTAGAGATAATTGTTTCTTATTGGTTAATATGCGTCAATTTGTGTCATACTCAGCTTCTGAGTGGTCAACTTGTTCACCAAAAAAGATCTGATTTTTTTATTCCATTTTTGCCATTTAATCTGATTTTGATAGTCTATAAATATGACCCTATTTTCATAGTTTTAGACATCCACAACTTTGCAATTGCACATACAATTCATCGCCAAAATCTACAATTTCGTCAATTTTTTTCGATTTCATAAATTTTTTTGTTTTGGTTTATCACAGGGTTTCTAAATAGAAACCCTGAAACCCTGTTGTTGTCTACATCAGACAATAACCAACAAATGGTCAATGATTTCATATGAGGTCACTCATCCTGTTATTTCAATTTTATTGTTTTCTTATTTTTAATTTAGCTTTTTAAACCACGTGATGCTTGTTCTGATAGGTATATCTGAAAAAAATTATATTTTCTGTAGAAATTTATGCAACCATTTTTAACCAATTTCTCACTTGTATATTTTCTCACTAATCACTTTACACGTACAGTATACAATTTAATTTTTTCTTCATGCTACAAGACATGTACATATTTATGTAATTTTTTTAGTAATTTATTTTTCTAATTATTACCAAGTCTTTTTTCTACGGTTCAGTAACATCTTATTGACTTTTGATTTCAAAAAATCATCTTCTTGTTTATTTTTGTTTCAAACTATCACCTCTAACGCAACAGGTAAATAGAGTAATCACCCTTGTCTTTTTTTAACCAAAACAATTGCATAAAATTCCCAGCACTATAAATATAACTCACAAGGCCAGTAACAACATTACCATGAACCATAAACTTCACAAACATTAAACCTGCAGAAGAAAATAGGACGATTCTCATTCAATCAAAATTATATTTTTATTCTCCTATTTATAATAATGTTTGAAACAGGAGTAAAGAAGAAATAGGAAAAAAAAGAATCTGCAACAACTACACTGGGCTACCGCAACCCCTTATTATTCTGATCAAGCTAGCGTCGAAATCACGGGAGCACTATGAATATCCCAGCAACGCACCCTCATTGTTAAACTCCGTGCTCGACGCAACTCCTCGGGCTACCGCAACCCCTTGTTATTCCGATCACGCCAGCCACTGCGAGATTCCAGCACCAGATCCGCGACCAACCGCGCCTCTGTCTCCACTGAAATATAACATCGACACGGCCCTCCGCTTCGATCCGCGCCCAGCCGGGATTCGCTCTAAACCTCCTCAGAATCGCGATTCCACCCTCCGCCGCAACCACTGCTTCAACCACACAACAGAACCTTCACGTCGAAGTCATTCAACACCACACATCCGCAACAACTCCGGCGGGCACCCCTCGCTGTCAACATACGAGGGTCGCTATCGGATGTCTGGAAAATTTTAAGTAAAAAGAAGAAGGTACAGAGAGAGAAGGAAGAAAAATTAAGGGATGGGTACTCTTGTTCTCTGCTTCACGATGAAAAGAAAGAAAAGAAAATTTACTACTTTTGTTTATCTGTCTTTGTTTCTCTTAACTTGGTACTACTATATTGTTAATATATTTTAATTTATATTTTACTTATAAGCCACGTGTCAAATATCCATTGGTGGTTTATTTTCAACTTTGAAATTTTAAAGTGGTTTCAAACATTCTGAAACATGATGCTTCTCATAATAGAGGAGAGCGACGCCCTTTTACCCATGTTTGTTCATTATTATCTTTTTATTATTAACAATAATCATATTTAGAATTAAGGTTAGAAATATTATTTGGGCCTTGGGCCATAGTTTCTAAACTTCTACTAATATACCACCCTCCACTTCTCACACCTCCCATTTTGTTGTATAAACTGAATTCATATCCCTTGTACTTTTGGGTCTGAATTCAATATCTAAATTTAGGCTCATATTTTTAGCACCCCGTGATTTTACTACCTTAACTCAATTTACATCTCCTGAGTTTTTCATTATAAATTTCCTCTATTATTTTATTTTTATATTTCTATATTTACTATTTTTATAATTTTAATATTATTTTATTACTATTATCATAAAAGCACATATATTTCTAAAAATGCATCCAAATATCTCTTTATTTATTTACATTAAATTAATTTTAATCATGCATTAATTAGATATTTTTGCAATTAATACATTAAAACATATTCAACCAACCACAAATCATTTTCGTGATTAAATTAATTCAACAAATAATTTTCAAAAAGGAGTATACGGTATATTACAATTAATCGTGCATTCTGTTCAAAATCTCCGCTATTCACAAACTCAGACTGAGTACAAGGGGAATTAAAATAACTGCGTAATCCATAAAAAAAAACACCAACCAATAAATGCGAACTACGAAATGGGACTCTGATTTGTCCTAAGAGGATATGTAGGCATAAAATTAAAATTTTGGCGAGTTCCCTAATTAAAATTAAAACCATATTTCCTAAAAATTGCGCTTCTAAATTCTAGTATCCTTTTGAACAAGGTAGATGAAAGGTTCCTAACACATTCCCTTCGTCTAAAACCGAGTATGAAACCCAGAATCTCTGTCTGCAAAATTAAGGTTTCCTATTAGATTCCCTTCCTTAAGATAAAAACTAGTAGTGGTGACTTTTATTTAAAAACCAGTTGCAACATCTCCCCCTCTGTTTTGGGTTATTCGCTCTTTTTCCATTCTTCTGGAAACAATAAAGCGCGGTAGAAATTTTTATTTGACTTGTGCGAGTTAAGCCAATCCAATGGCTTAGTCTCAATATTTCTACTGCTACAGTCATCCCATAGCAGCATGGTCTCATATAAAATCACAACAACAAATTAACTTGTGCGCAATCCTCTGGCACTCCTCGCCGTCTCCCTAACATCTCATACGTTATTGATCGATGTTGGTTGCACTATTTGGGACAACAGTTGCATATAGCGTGAATGCGTTCAGTGTAGCAAGGATGGGCACATGGTGGGTGATATTGCAGCTTAATTTCATCTGTCGTGACCGTTGGGAAGTTTGTGTTCGTCTGAACCTGGAAGAGAAACTCTTGCCAAAGAACATTAGTATCAAGCATTATGATACTCATAGTAATATATATACACTTTATACAGATTGATGTATTCATCAAATTCACAGTTTCACCACACATAAATGCGAAGTCGACATAATATTCGTGTTGGAAGTATGTTATCTAACAACCATAACAAGGTTTAGGAAGGTATGGTTTTCTTCATCCCTGAACCTTTCTGTCAGCTGTATTGGAAACCATCAGTTTTTTCATATACAAATTTACGTACATAGAAAACATGCCTCTTTGGTTACGTTTGTGATGTAAACGACATAAATTTTCGTGCCTACACCTCTAACTATGCATCATTTTTTATGACAACAACTCTTTAAAAGTTCTACAGTGATAACCTTATGACATAAAATTGCAATAAATAGGTTCTCCATAAAGGAGTATTCCCCGCGTCACTGTTTCACCCCAAAATTTTCCCTCTCATTTTACTCAACACATGTTCATTGAAGTCCTCAACTTGCTCAAGGATGCCCAAGAATTAACCAGATAAATTCTCTCCTAAGGCAATGAACCTTTAACTAGCGTTTCCACTTTCATCAAGATTTGGAACTCCAAAGGTATCAAATATTTTACATGGTCCTAATATGTCCTCAAGATCATCCATGTCAAGTTTCATGCCTTGCACAATAAGTTTGCTCAGTCAACTGCTTAAATGCCTAAAAATCAATTATACTAGGTCAAAAGTCAAATGTGACCCTCATGTAATCAAACTTCAATATTTGTGGTAAAATCAAAATTTTGAAGTAACATTCATAATTTGATCAAGGGTTGATCATGATTCCTCAAGGAATTCCCCAAATTCATCAAAACTCAAAAGTTACTAAATTAGGGTTTCTATAGGAAAAGTCAACCAAACTTTGACCAGGCATAACTTCTCATACTTTATCAGAAATTTCCCATTCAAAGCTCATTTTGAAGAGAATTTAATTCCCTACAACTCATATTCAGCCTTCAAGTTCAAAAATTGCACTCATGGAAATATATGAATTCAGACATTATAGGTCATTTCAAAAAGTCAACAAAAACACCTTTTGGGTCAAGGTTCCTTACATGAACATGGAAGATCCAATTGAGATGAAACCAAATAGTTTGCTTAGGGGATATCCTAAGCTTTCTAAAAAGTCAAAGAACACCCTCTTATGGTCAAAATTGAGAGAGATGTTCATTGTCAAAGTTGGCCATTTTTGGAAATTTGCACAAAGTCAACCATGCCTAAAATGCATTTTTCTTCAAATGGGCCCAACTTTTTATGCTTGCACCTTACTCCTAGCCTGGTCCACGACCCCTGTGCTTATCCATCTATTATTTTATTATTTTTATTATTTATTTTTATTATTTATCCATTTAAATCAAAATAAATCAATTTAAATAGTAGAATAATCAAATAAAATCAAAGATTTGATTTTGTGAGCACATTATGATTCCATGAACAACTAGCAAATCAAATAATCATGCAAGGGCTGATTGGAATGAAAATAGCATGTTTTGGTGAAGTTTATAAAGAAAATAATCAAGTTGAAAATCAAATCTCTTTCTCATCAATCTCCAAGATTTGTTCCAGTTTTGTTGACCTAATGTATTCTCATGCATATAGACAAGAACGCCAACCCTAATGGACAAAAAGTATGCCTCCACAAGTCCAGAAAAACTCCAGCTTTTGATAAAAAAGTGGTGATCAAATTCTGATTTAGAGACCAATTTAAGTAATTTCAAAGCCAGCAATCCGTTCCTGGACGTTTTCTGAAGCTATCCCAATCATCCTCAAGGCCTAAAACGTCCAGAATCACGCTCATCAAGTCTCATGGTTTTCTCCCTTTTTGAAAATTATTTTCATTGATTCTGGCATCATAAACATGTTCTAAGTATATATTCATGCTTGTTATCATGTATGCAACGTATCTGGATTGTTTAATTTGAGTGTGGATGCAGGAATCACACGATACCATTTTTAGGGTTTGAAGCTTCAATTTGGGATCTTTTGATACAGGCCAAATTGGCCCAAAATAAGGACACCGTCGTGTTTAGGGCATCAAACCCAATTAAACCTTGGCCTCACCATGAATTTATATTGCATATTCTTGATTTTTTGAAAACACATGGGCTATAGTGACGGACTGTGTCCGTTGGTAAAAGTTGTTACCTAAAACAACGGTTGTAGGAAGAAGACAATGAAGTACCTGACTCCCATTGGAAGATTTGAATCTGCGCGCGTTTTTGGCATAATGCTTAATATTTTCTTTATGTTTTATTTATGTTATTATATTAACAAACAAACCAGCCAGCCCAGACGGTAAAGCCAAGCGCGTATGAGAGGAAGGACCTGGGTTCGATCCCAGGTCCAGACATTTTTCTTATTTTCTAATCTTTATATGCAGGATCCCATACATCACTATTCCAAGCCTCCATAATGCGCTCGAAATCTCAGCCGATGGATCATCCCTTGATCCAGATCCAACATCTAGCCACAGCAGCCCATGGTAGACCCTCAGAGGCCAGCTACACTGAATTCACACGCAGGCAGGTGGGCCAGCAATCTTGGGCCTAACAAATTCAACTCCCTACACCCCTAGATTGCTAACAACATCAGGCCCGATTTTTTTTCTTTTTTTTTTTCAATTTCTTTTTATTTATTTGTTTAATTATTTTTTATAAAACAAAAATCATTTTTTTATTAAATAAAAAAATCACAAAAAAACATTAAAATCAGATTTTTTTTTATAAAATATTTTATTTCATTAATTAATTAGATTAATTTAATTAGGGAAATTTAAATTCTTTTGTTTTCATAATTAAAATCAATTGGAAAATTATGTTTAACTTGCAAATTTCAACTATTTTTCTCAACAAAAAACATACAAAAATATTTCCTTTAATTAATGAGATTCATTAGGATATTCAATTCTCGTGTTCTTCCTCGCGTGCGTTTTATTTATTTATCGTTCTAATTATTGTAATTGATTTGAGGTTGTAATAGTTTTAACTAGGATTTTAGTTACTACCTTTATTTACTGTTTACCCCCATTTTTGGATTATGTAACCCCCTCCCCGAAGCCTTGTAATAGCTAGGTTTTTATTCTCGCACTTTACTTTCCGCTATTATTAAATGTTTAGACTAATAGGCTTGTATGGAAAGAATAACGAGTAAAACAGTAGATCACCCTAAATGTGCAAAGATAAATGAACTGAAATCAAACACTCGCACATGCTCACTCCTAGGATTACCCCCACTTCGGTTGCCTTCGGTAAACGGTCATGAAGTATAAGGAGTTTTAGTGGTTGCCCTCTAGTCTCAAAAGATCAAAAATGACCCGTTCGAATGTTACCTCAGAAA